GGCTGAGGGGCGGGGGAGCGGGAAACGGACGGCTGGGGGTCAGAGGTGGGCTGGGAGCCTGGGGCTGCTGGGAGTTGTGGGGTGGGAGGTGGGGATATTTGATATAGTGGGGTCCATGTTCATATCTGCTCTTGGGGCATGGGGGAGGTGGAGCTGGGGAAACTGAGGCAAGGGGCATGTCTGAGGCTTGCTGCTTGGGATGGGCAGAGCTAGATGTGGGTAGGTCGGTCGGGGGCTGCATCCCTATCATTCAGCCAGGAGGGTCCCATATTGCTTCTGGAAAACCTGGTCCCCCTTTCACCAGCTTCCCTTCCTCCTTCCTGGCTGAGGTTGAACATGATCTGGGATAAAAGTCTGAGCCCCAGGGATTTTTCAGGAGCGTCTACAGGGCAGGATGAGCCCTGAAAACCAGCAGCGGGGAGGCTGTTTGCAGCAGCTTGTAACCCCCACCCTCTGCTTCTTCCAGGAGCCCCCACGAGAGCATCTGGCCCCTCTGAGAAAAGAGAGAGAAGCAGCCAACGCTGAGGTGCAGCAGCAAAGCGAGGAGCTGCTGGTAGGTGCCTGAAGTCCCCTTTGGCCTCCTCCCCTCACTTAGGCTGAGGTCACCCTGCCAAGTGCCCTGGTAAATGCAGAGTCCAGTCTGCCTGCCTCAGCCAGGAAACTATCCCCACTGATGCCTAGAGAGAGGGCAGTCCCACCAGGTGGTCCTGTGGGCAGTATACAGCTCAACCCTGCCCCGATCCCTCCATTCTTCCTGGCTTAAATGCATGTCCTTTCATCAGAGTCCCTGTGCTCTGGTAAGTTACTTCCCCATCTGCTGGGAGGTACATTTTTGATCCACCAAAGGCTCTTAAGCAAAATAAGCTATTATGGCAGGGGTTCTCAAACTGTGGGTCCTGACCCTCCGGGGGGTCATGAGCATCTTAGAGTGGGGTCACTGTATCACAAAGTTTGAGAACCCCTGTATTATGGGATAAGAGGGAAGATCCTCCCATGGATTATTAACTAGTTAAAAAGATGGCAAACCAAAGGTAGGAATAAATGGTGGTGGTTCAAAATGAAAAGCAGTAAATAATGGTTTCTCCCAGGGGTCGGTACTCGTGTTGTGCTTAAAAGAAGCACCCAGGATCTTTTTCAGGGGGATAAGGCAACACGCCACATTTATTGAACATACATAGATCAATCAATATTTACCGCATGCATAGGATACATTACGCTCATGCACTCTCTCTCACACACAAGCACACTCCATCTTGTTGTTACCAAAAGTTGCTCCCTGTAACTGCACTGGCCAGGTGAGTTAGATGGGCAGGGGTGGAGCCGGGCTTCTGCAGATCCAGATGGATGCTCCCATGCTGACAAGACAAAAATCCCTCTGCAAGATGCCTCCTATTTACCCCTCTCATGCAGCCAATTAGTCATCACCTTGCCTTTCTTAATGCTGCTTCAAAGAGAGTTCTTCCAAGGGCAGGCATTTGCTGCTTGACTCCCAAAGTGTCTGTATGTCCAGTCTTCTTAATGAGCTCACTTTACAGGTATTGTCTTGGATCTGGCTCCCAGATCTTCTCTACCCTGCAACTGCTGCTGGAGGTGCTCACCTTTCATTCTCCATTCACACCTCATTCATTTCAACAGGACAATCAAGGAAAGGGGAGAGCTAAAAAGACATTTTTTTTCTCTTACAAGATCTATATATATAAAAAAGAAAGTTTCTTTTAATACACAGTTATAGGAGAAATGTTACAGAAATTGTATGAGAACACTTAACAAAGATATCTAAAAGGACAAAATCTTAATACAAAGTTATATGAGAATGATAATATTACAGGGGTTTATCCACACTGGGACCAGCATTGTTCTATACAAGATCTGGAAAAAGGGTAAACTGTTAGGTGGAAAAGTTGCAGATGATACAAAACTATTCCAAATAAATGCAAGTTGAAAGCAAACTGGGAAGAGTTACAAAGGGATCTCACAAAATTAGGTGACTGGGCAACAAAATAGCAGATGAAATTCACTGCTGATAAATGCAAAATCATGCACATTTGAACATGTAATCCCTGCTCTACACACAAAATGATGGGGGTCTAAATTAGCAGGTTCCCCTCAAGAAGATCTTTGGAGTCATTATGGACAGTTGTCTGAAAACATCCACTTAATGTACAATGGCAGTCAAAAAAGCAAACAATATTCAGAATCATTTGGAAAGGGATAGAGAAAAAGACAGAAAATACCATATTGCCTCTGCATAAAACTAAGGTATGCCTCTATCTTGAAAACCGTGTGCAGATGTAGTCACCCATCTGGAAAAAATATAAAGGGATTGGAAAAAGATACACCAAAAGAGAACAAAAATGATTAGGGGAATGGAACAGCTTCCATATGAGAGATTAAGAGGACGGGGACATTTCAGCTTGGAAAAGAGACGACTAAGGGGGCATATGATAAAGATCTATACAGTCATGACTGGTGTTGAGAAAGTAAATAAGGATGTGTTATTTACTCCTCATAGCACAAGTACTAGGGATCACCAAATGAAATTAATACAGGTTGGACCTCTCTAGTCTGGAACTCTCTGGTCCGGCAACATCCATGGTTCGGCATGATTTTAATTAGCCGGATGCCCACTTATCATAGGTGTGGCCAAGTTTCTTGCTGTCCCATAAAGTGTGTTTACAGCCATCAGTTCTGTCCTATAAGAGTCCAGTAAGCAGTGGAAGCATTGGTAATGCTGCTAGACAATATTGACCTCCCGTGGTCCAGCAAATTCTCTGGTTTGGCACCATTCAGGTCCCAAGGGTGCCAGACTAGAGAGGTTCAACCTGAAGTCGGGTTTAAACCAAATAAAAGGAAATATTTCTTTACAAAATGCCCAGTCATCTTGTGGAACTCCCTGCCAGAGGGTGTTGTGAAGGCCAAGACTATAACAGGGTTCAAAGAAGAGCTAGATAAATTCATGGAGAGTAGGTCCATCGATGGCTATTAGCCAGGGAGGGTGTTCCTAGTTCTGTTTGTCAGGAGCTGGGAATGACAGGCGGAGGGATCGCTTGATGATTCCCTCCTCTGTTCATTCCCTCTGAGACACACCTGGCATTGGCCACTGTCAGAAGAGAGGATACTGAGTTTGGATAGAATTTTGGTCTGACCCAGTGTGGCTGTTCTCATGTTCCGTGTTCCCCTGTTACTGATTCTCCCTCTCCCTGTGGTGGCAGAACCGGACGGAAGCCGAGCGGCAGAAGCTGGTCGGGGAGTGGAAGGCCCTGCAAGGGTTTCTGGAGGAGCAGGAGCAGCTGCTGCTGTCCCGGTTGGAAGAGCTAGAGCGAGCCATTGTCCAGAGGCGGAATGAGGGTGTCTGCAGACTGACTGGGGCGATTTCCCTGTTCGGGGAGAGGGGAGGAGAGAAGGGGCAGCAGCTGCTGAGCCAGTCCCTGCAGGTCAGGCTGTTGTTGCAATGATCACACGTAGAGTTTCTATGGGGGGTTCTCATCCCTAGGCTCCACAGCATTTTGCAGAACAGGGCTGGGGGAATTATCCCTGCAGGATAATGTGGGACAAGGGGGGAGTGAGGCAGGGGGAGGGGCAGAGCCCTGTAGGAGGTCTGTAGATGTCTGGCTGCATTTGCACTTGGAGGGTGAAATCCCCTCCCACCCATGGAGAGGTCCTGAGCCAGGCCTAAGGCCCCGCTCACCTGGGTTTATGGGTTTAGTGGGGCCCAGAGGTGGGACTTGTGGGTCTCTCAGTCCCAAGGGAAACTTGATTCTCACTGCAGAAAAACCTATTCTGCCTGTCAAGTGCCTGGGAAGAAGATTTGCACAGTTGCCACCTGCTAGCAGGGATTCCTGGGCTGCAGAGAGCAAAAGCCCCTGCTGGGGGAGATGGCAGCTGCTCTCAGAACAAGACCCCCAGTATCGGAAATTCCCCAAGTACCAGAGGCTCCGGTGGGGATTCCCCTGTGGGGCAGGAGGTTCCCAGCCTGGGACAAGGCCTCTGACTGCCTCTTCTGTCTCCCTCTCTAGGGCGCTGGCAGCGCTGGGGGCAGGTAAGTCCTGGTCTCTTTTCACTCCCCCTCATGGTGTGTTAGGTCTGGTAACCGCCCTGAATGTGCAGCTGCTCCCTGCCCGTGCAGTGTGACACGCCGGCTCGGAGCCTGGGATCTGTCTCCCCTAGCGGCTGCCTCAGCACGGGGCAGGGCCTGGCCCTGTCTGACAGCTAATGAGGTCCCACCAGGGCGGTCAGACACATGGGCCTTGGGCCGGACTCAGCCTGTCCGGTGTATTTATGTGGCAACGTCACGTATTCAGAACCTTCAATTTTTTAAAGTAAGTTTCTAGCCTTCCTGGTTACAGAGCAGCCTTCCCCGGTGGCCAGGGAGACTGTTGCTTCCAGAGCCTGCCCACGCTGTGGCTCAGAGAGGGGTAAACTCCCCAGTCTCTCTGTTTATCGTCATTGCAGCCAAAACTGCACAGTGGTCACGTGAGCAGGTGGCACAGGGAGGGGGGCAGGGGCAGGAGTGAAGCCCTGGAGGGGTGGGGATGGGGCAGTGCTGTAGGGAGGGAAGAGCAGAGGAGAGACACAAGGACAGTGAGGGGAGAGTGAAATGGGGAAAGGTGGGTGGGATAGGGAGGGAAACAAAAAGGTAAAAATAGCAGGAGCCTTAATCGTGGGGGAGGGGGCGGGGGGAGAGGGGAGAGCGGTGCTTTCCCACTGAGCGAGACTGACTGTGACAATAAAGGACACAAGAAATAACAGGAACTCGTTGGCGAGGGGGTCCGGGCCTGTTTCTCATCCCTCCTCTTTTCCCCAGCAGGGAGGATGGGACGTTTCGGGAGCCGGAGCCGGGCTTTGCGGAGCTGGAGCAGAGACTCAGCGATTTCTCTCTGACAAGCGCCCGCCTGCAGGAGGTGCTGTTGGGATTCAGAGGTGAATGGGAGTCTTGGGGCGGCGTCTCTTCTGGCGAGAGCGACCCTGGCCCTGGGGTGGAGTCAGGGACTTTAGTGATGTCACTGACCCTCTGCTCCATCTCACCTCCCCTGCTCAGTGAGTCGCCCTACCACATGGGGAGCCCCCTGGGGCTGGGGCTGGCTGCAGCAGCTGTGCTATAGGCCTTGGGCTGCATCACATCTCATAGCTAATGGCCGTTACGTTAATACACTGGGGGAGCCTCCCCATGAATGCAAGGCCTGAATTCTCACCTCTCCCGTCCTCTCCTTCCCCTAGAGATGCTGCGCCTGGAGCTGGGGAGTGACACAGGTACGTGTCTGGCTCTGACGGGCCCTGGGGAGAGTTCAGACCAGTCACCATGTTAGCAACAGGGCATCACGGCCTCCAGCCCCCATGTGCACCTGGAAGCTGGGAACCAATGCAAAGCAGGGTGAGCTCCAGGACATCAGACAGGGATTCAGAATGAATCGGGATCTCATGGGTGTGATTCCCTTTGGGAAATAGGGGAACACCCTAAATGAGAAGTGAACATAAGAACAGCCATACCTTGTCAGACCAAATTCCCTCTAGCCCAGGATCCTGAGTGGTTTTTTTTTTCTTCATTGTGCTTTTTTAAAAAGTGTAGAAGTAATTTTTTGTTTGATTTTTAAAAAAAATTTATTAATAATATATGCACATTTTTGCTTACGGTTTTAGCACACTAACTCTTGCATTAGTTGATTTTTTGCCCTTTACATTAATAAAACAGTTATTAGCAGCTAATTTTTAAAACATAAATTAGATGTTTTTCTGTTTTTGCGTAACCTATTCTTTTTTAAGTAGGTATAGGTTTTTTAAAATATATTTTCCTCTTAATTTTTTTTATGCTTTAATTATGTCTTAAAAGAATTTAAATTTTTTTGGAATGATTTTGTACATTTAATAACTTCCTATTAATCTATTATAATTGTTAATTTATAGGAAACAGCTTTGGCAGATCTAAAGATGGTAGGATTATTTAAACACATTGCATTGGAGCGTAAAAGCATAGATACAGTGGCTTCTGGGGTAATGGGATAAGTTTCATTACTAGCATTGCTTTTGGGGGGGACTGTTTAGAAAATAGTAGAGCTATTAACTCGTGATTTACTCAAAAATTAGTTGCAATTGCAATTTTAACCACACTGTTGAATAATCGAACACCAATAGGAATTTATTAAACATTTTTGGACATTATTCTAATTTTTCAAATACAGGAAACCCTTATGTTACGACAGCCTGAGTTGCAACCCTCCCCTCCCACTTACAACCATTTTTGTAAGTGTGGAAGGGGCCGAAAACCCCCAATTTACCTCCTAGGCTCACATTTACAATGTCACACGGCGCCTGTCATAAATGCGGGTTCGAGTTATGATGCCCCTGACTTGCGATGCTTCCCCATGAACCAATCGCATCACAAGTCGGGGGCTGCATGTATGTGGATTTCAGTTGCAACACAGATTACAAAGTGTTCAGTGCTCACTTAATATTACTTTTGATTAGAAATATTTGCACTGTAAAAAAAAAGCAAACAAAATATGTCAGTTCACCTCATTCAAATAATGTAGTGTAATCTCTTTATCGTGAAAGTACAACTTTGAAATGTAGATTTAAGTGTGGAAGGGGCCGAAAACCCCCAATTTACCTCCTAGGCTCACATTTACAATGTCACACGGCGCCTGTCATAAATGCGGGTTCGAGTTATGATGCCCCTGACTTGCGATGCTTCCCCATGAACCAATCGCATCACAAGTCGGGGGCTGCATGTATGTGGATTTCAGTTGCAACACAGATTACAAAGTGTTCAGTGCTCACTTAATATTACTTTTGATTAGAAATATTTGCACTGTAAAAAAAAAGCAAACAAAATATGTCAGTTCACCTCATTCAAATAATGTAGTGTAATCTCTTTATCGTGAAAGTACAACTTTGAAATGTAGATTTTTTTTTCATTACATAACTGCACTCAAAAACAAAACAGTGTCAGACTTTAGAGCCTACAAGTCCTCTCAGTCCTACTTCTTGTTCAGGCAATCACTAAGGCTACATCTAGACTGCATTGCTTTTTGGCAACGCCACGTCCAAGGAATGCGTCTGCTTTTTTGAAATTTTTTTCGAAAGAACAGATGCGCTCTTTCACCGTCCTTGTAAACCTCATTCTATGAGGAATGAGGGATGGCTTGAAAGAGCACTTTCTTTCACAATTTGGTACCGTGTAGACGCGCCAAATTTCGAAAGAGCCTCTTTTGAAAGTAAATTGAAAAAATATATGCAATTTAAGTACTGCAAATTGTGTATCTTTTTCCGATTTATCAGTGCAGTCTAGACGTTGCCTAAGAGAAACAAGATTGTTTACATTTACGGGAAATAATTCTGTCCGCTTCTCATTGACAGTGTCACCAAAAAATGACTACAGCATTTGTATTAGGTGAAGTATTAGGTGAATTGAATATTTCATTTGTTTTTACCATGCAAATATTTGTAATAAAAATATAAAGCTAGCAATGTACACTTTGTATTTTGTGTTGTAATTGAAATCAATGTATTTGAATTTTTTTTAAAAAATCCAAATATTTAAATAAATAGCATTTTGCTGTTGCTTAACAGTGTGATTAACCATGATTAATTTTAATTGCTTGACTGCCCTAGAAAATAGTGTAATTTACAAGCACTTACCTGTGCCTAGTATATGTGCCATTAATACCACTCTGCCTGTAGTGGAAATCCCTCACCTGTTACATGCTAGGATCTCACTCACTTTTTTCATTGTGTTGGTGGCTTATCGTCACTCTGTGTCCAACCCATGCACCCAGGTCTCCCTCCTCCCCTGAGGAGCCTCCAGGGTGAAGCAGAAATGTTGTAGGATGGGACCATATGTGCAAGACCTAGAATTTGGTACTTTGAACTTCTGGGGGGCCCTCCCAGTTATGTGTGATGTTCCAATCCTCTGCGGACTCCCAACTTTAGCATCGTTGCCAAATTTCATTTCATTTACTGCCCCAGCACTGGGCAGCGTCCTAGGACTGCAGGGCAGCTTGAGAGGGCATGTGACCCAGTCCCCTGTGCTCCTGGGGCTGGCCAAAGTGGCCATCCAGGAGGAGGACATCAGATGGGGACACGCTCTGCGACTATGGGACCTACCTATGGTCCTGTCTTGGCTCACATCTGCAGGCAGAGCTCCTCTAGGTGGTGTCCTCCAGCTCCATAGACATCTTTGAGGAGCAGTGGGTGTTTCCAAGTTTCTCTGCTTGGTGTCTCCCCCTTTGTAGTTGTGACCCTCGCGCCTCACCCTTTGGTGGTTAGTCTCCCGTAATTATTTGAACCCTGAGTCTAGTACCTTCTCCCGCAAGCTGGGAGAGAGGCTTGCCGCCTGCCTGCCTCCTGAATTTCAATAGGTGCACAAACTAGGTAGAGCAGCTGTGCCCAGACCAAAGTTAGCAGCCTTGCTCTTCATTCCTGCCCAGCTGGGCTGAATATTGAGCCTCCCTCTCTGATGCCAAGCCTTCACCATGGTCCCCCAAAGAATACAGCTGGGCAGCAGGTCAACCAATGGGGCTGCCTGCAACTCCATGGAATCGTAGGGTCCTCTAGTCCAATTGTCCTGGTTTAGAAAATAGTAGAGCTATTAACTCGTGATTTACTCAAAAATTAGTTGCAATTGCAATTTTAACCACACTGTTGAATAATCGAACACCAATAGGAATTTATTAAACATTTTTGGACATTATTCTAATTTTTCAAATACAGGAAACCCTTATGTTACGACAGCCTGAGTTGCAACCCTCCCCTCCCACTTACAACCATTTTTGTAAGTGTGGAAGGGGCCGAAAACCCCCAATTTACCTCCTAGGCTCACATTTACAATGTCACACGGCGCCTGTCATAAATGCGGGTTCGAGTTATGATGCCCCTGACTTGCGATGCTTCCCCATGAACCAATCGCATCACAAGTCGGGGGCTGCATGTATGTGGATTTCAGTTGCAACACAGATTACAAAGTGTTCAGTGCTCACTTAATATTACTCTGGTTTTCAGAGAACTATCCACAGTGACCCAAGATCCCTCTTGAGTGGTAATAGCTAATTTAGTCCCCATCATTTTGTATGTGTAATTGGGATTATGTTTTCTAATATGCATAACTTTACATTTATCAACACAAAAACTCATTTGCCATTTTGTTGCCCAGTCTCCTAGTTTTGTGAGATCCTTTTAAAGCTCTTTACAGCATGGGTGTATGTCCTCTAGAATGGTGGTTGAAGCACAAACGGGCATAGGAAACTTTAGCACAGCTGACATCCAAATATTTCGCGACACCAGCTACAAAAGTGCCATGCAAATCCTTGTTATCACAGGTGACATTGTAAACAAGATGCTGGCAGCATTATCTCCTGTAAATATAAATAAACTTGTTAGTTTGAAGTGATTAGCTGACCAAGAAGTAGGATTGAGTGGACTCATAGGCTCTAATTTTTTTCTATCATTTTATTTTTGAATACCATTTCTTTTATACATAATTTTACATTTGTCAGTTCAATTTTCATGATAAAGAAATTGGACTAAATTATTAGTATTAGGTGAATTGAATATTTCATTTGTTTTTACCATGCAAATATTTGTAATAAAAATATAAAGCTAGCAATGTACACTTTGTATTTTGTGTTGTAATTGAAATCAATGTATTTGAATTTTTTTTAAAAAATCCAAATATTTAAATAAATAGCATTTTGCTGTTGCTTAACAGTGTGATTAACCATGATTAATTTTAATTGCTTGACTGCCCTAGAAAATAGTGTAATTTACAAGCACTTACCTGTGCCTAGTATATGTGCCATTAATACCACTCTGCCTGTAGTGGAAATCCCTCACCTGTTACATGCTAGGATCTCACTCACTTTTTTCATTGTGTTGGTGGCTTATCGTCACTCTGTGTCCAACCCATGCACCCAGGTCTCCCTCCTCCCCTGAGGAGCCTCCAGGGTGAAGCAGAAATGTTGTAGGATGGGACCATATGTGCAAGACCTAGAATTTGGTACTTTGAACTTCTGGGGGGCCCTCCCAGTTATGTGTGATGTTCCAATCCTCTGCGGACTCCCAACTTTAGCATCGTTGCCAAATTTCATTTCATTTACTGCCCCAGCACTGGGCAGCGTCCTAGGACTGCAGGGCAGCTTGAGAGGGCATGTGACCCAGTCCCCTGTGCTCCTGGGGCTGGCCAAAGTGGCCATCCAGGAGGAGGACATCAGATGGGGACACGCTCTGCGACTATGGGACCTACCTATGGTCCTGTCTTGGCTCACATCTGCAGGCAGAGCTCCTCTAGGTGGTGTCCTCCAGCTCCATAGACATCTTTGAGGAGCAGTGGGTGTTTCCAAGTTTCTCTGCTTGGTGTCTCCCCCTTTGTAGTTGTGACCCTCGCGCCTCACCCTTTGGTGGTTAGTCTCCCGTAATTATTTGAACCCTGAGTCTAGTACCTTCTCCCGCAAGCTGGGAGAGAGGCTTGCCGCCTGCCTGCCTCCTGAATTTCAATAGGTGCACAAACTAGGTAGAGCAGCTGTGCCCAGACCAAAGTTAGCAGCCTTGCTCTTCATTCCTGCCCAGCTGGGCTGAATATTGAGCCTCCCTCTCTGATGCCAAGCCTTCACCATGGTCCCCCAAAGAATACAGCTGGGCAGCAGGTCAACCAATGGGGCTGCCTGCAACTCCATGGAATCGTAGGGTCCTCTAGTCCAATTGTCCTGCTCATGGCAGGACTAAGTGTTATTTAGACCACCCCTGACAGGCATTGCTCTAACTTGATCTTAAACATCTAATTGTGATGTGAAATGCACTAAAGCCCTTTCTGAAATCTCCCCCTTCTCCTTTTGACAGGTGACAGAATAACACCCATCTTTGGTTCCAGACTGGCTGGTCCTCGCAGGAGACGAGAGAGAACGATGGCTGTGGTGGGTCCAGACCGGGTAGGGTTTCTGAGGGAGTGGCTAGTGGTTTCCTGATGGAGAGATGGGAAGAGATGGGGTTTGTTTGGGAGTTTGGTCAAGAGGCATCAGGATCTGCCCGGGTGGAAAAAGGGGAGGATGACAGAGTGTGACAAACCTTCTGGGGCTTGTTCAGCCTGGATTTTAGGAACAGACTTCTGGCAGCTTGGGGGTGGAAATCCCCCTATTAGTGAAACAGGAAACAAACCATTTGGCCAGAGCTGGTAAAATTTACCAGATTTTTAATGGTGGAGTCTACAGCCAGAGGCTACTGAGTGACACAAAGGGGGTATCCACCAGAGAGCCTTAGGAGAGCAAAGGAATAGCCTGACTGGTTCATCAGAGCAAAAGTTCATCTAGCCCAGTATCCTGTCTTCTGGCAGCGGCCAATGCCAGGTGCTTCAGAGGGAATCATCAGGTGATCCCTCCCTTGTCACCCATTCCCAACTTCTAACAAACAGAGGCTAGGGATAGCATTCCTACCCATCCCGGCTAATAGACATTGGTGGACCTAACCTCCATGTATTTATCTAGCTCTTCTTTGAAACCTGCTTGGACTTCACTACATTCTCTGGCAGGGAGTTCCACAGATTGACTGTGTGTTATTTGTCTCTTTTAAACCCGATGCCTATTAATTTCATTTGGTGACCCTTAGTCTTATGTTATAGGAAGGAGTAAATAACTCTTCTTTCTTTATTTTTTTCCACACCCGTCATGATTTTAAATACCTCTGTCATATCCCACCTTAGTCATCTTTTTTCCAAGCTGAACATTCCCAATCTTACTAATCTCTTCTCATATGGCAGTCGTGCCATATCCCTAATAATTTTTGTTGCCCTTTTTTTGTACCTTTCCCAATGCCAAGCTATTTTTTGAGATGAGACGACCACATTTGCACACCGTATTGGAAGTGTGAGCATACTATGAAACTCTGTCTTATTTCCTTAACAATTGCCAACATGCTGTTTACTTTTCTGACTGCTGCTGCATAGGGTGGATGTTTTCAGAGAACTGTCCACAGTGACTCCAAGATCTCTCTCGTGAGTGACAACAGCTAATTTAGTCCCCATTCTCTGACATCCATCCCCTGGCAGTGGGCAGGAGGTTGGGATTCTTGTCAAGGGGTCTGAAGCTTGCTAGAGACTTCATCTCTTGTATCGGCGTCTGGCAAGAAGGTGTGGGATGGTTGTGAAGACCCTGCCGCCTTCTGTCTGCTGGGAGGCACAAGATGTTCTTTCCTTGCTCTGAGGCCTCCTGGCTCTCTGAGTGGAGGGAGGGACCTGATGACTGTGAGTCTCCCAGAGCTTCCATGAGATTGGCTCCTCTCCTGCATGACCAGTGGGGCTGTGAGTGGGGCAGCAGGTGCTGAGTGTTGGGCTCTTGCTCTTTCAGGGGCCGGTGACCTTTGAGGAGGTGGCTGTGTATTTCACCAGGGCAGAATGGGCTTTGCTGCACCCGGCTCAGAGAGCCCTCTACAGAGCCGTCATGCAGGAGAACTACGAGAACGTGACCTCGCTGAGTAAGGACTCCTGTCTCCGCGGTTATGAGATGGGGAAATGCAGAGTTAAGGTTCATGTCATCCCCACACAATTTAACCTTAACTCTGCCCTGTCTCAGCATCACCCCAACACGCCCATGACACACACAGCACCCCTCTGCCCGCCCTGCCACAGAACGCTCTGGGAACAGGGCACAGGAGCAGCTCAGCACAAAGTCTAAAAACTTCTCTGTGCTAAGACTGAACTGGGGTTTAGGTCCAGTGTCGTCATGAGAAGCTGCCTGCCGCTGGCTGGCACTCAACCTCCGCATAAAGTAGTTCAGACTAGCAAAGTGATCACAGCAGGGGAAGTTTAGGTTGGACATCAGAAAAAATTTCTTGTCAGGGTGGTTAAACACTGGAATAAATTGCCCAGGGAGGTTGTAGAGTCTCCATCATTGGAGATTTTAAGGAGCAGGTTGGATAGACAGACACCTGCCAGGGATGGTCTAGATCAGGGGTCGGCAACCAATGGCTCACGAGCCAAATATGGCTCTTCTGAAGCACTCGTGCTATCGCCTCGCGGTCCCCTGCAAGACTGGAGCACCAGCGCCGGCTTCCTGTGAGGGAAGGTTGGGAAAGCCCAGAGGTAACCAGAAACTGAGTGCAGAAACGGCTGCGCGCTGCTGCTCCCCTCCCCCCGGCCGGGGGAACAGCAGCGTGCTGGCGCATTTCCTGGAGGCTTTCCCACGCTGCTCCAAAGCCTTCAGTGCCTGGGAGCGGTACGCAGCACGAAAACAAGTAAGTGCCACCCTGGATTCCCAGCCCCCTCACACACTCCTCTCACATCCCTAGCCTGCTCCTGAACCATCCTCCTCCCTGGCCAGACCTCCTGCCCCCTACCACCCACCCAGATCCTGCACCCCCATCCCTATCCCACTTACTGGCAGCCCTGTCTCTCACACTTGAACCCCTCATTTTTGGTCCAATTCAAGAGCCTGGGGAGGGGGCCCACAAATTCCATCAGCCCTGGAACCCCACAAGAATAAAACTTGCCTGAGGCCTTGAACCTCAGTGCCCCCTGCCCCTCTCCCCGCCCAGGGGCTGGAGCACCAGGGGAGTGAGGTGTTTCAGTTGGGGGCCACATCAGTGAGGGTTGGGGAGTTTTTGGAGGTTTTTTTAAAATTGCTTCTCACTTGTGTGGGTCCCCAACTGATTTTTTTCTGTGGGTCAGTGGCCCCCACCCCTGCCATAAATAAAGACAATGTTGAAACCTTTTGTATTGGATATAATATTTTACTTCATATAAAACTGAAGCCTGGCCAACAAGCCCCCTGTTGGGGCCCAGCCTCCATCTGGCTGCAACATTATGAACCCCCCACACCCCAACCCTGAGCCCATCATACACCTGAACCCCCTGCCCTGAGCTCCTCATATTCCACACACCCACATTCCCAGCAACATTCCTCCCCCCCCCACACCCCAACCTTGTGTGCTTAGTCCATCATACACCCAAACCCTCTGCCCTGAGCCCCTCATAAACCCCAGCCCAGACTCCTGCACCCTCACATCTCTAGCGCCTTGCCATAAGATTGACAGAAGACAGCCTGAATGCCTGCATGAAGCTGGATTTAACCAGTTATGATGTAAACTTCAAAGAAATGTGCAAAAAGACGCAGCAGCAGAAGTCCCATTAAATAAACTCTGCAATGTTTTATTTATGCTATTATTAATCATTATGTCAATTATCAGTAATGTGACTATGCTATTATTAATCATTATGTCAATTATCAATAATGTGACATATATTTTCAGTCATGCAAATGGGCATTCTTATATGGCTCTTTATTGACCACGTGTTCTGAAGTTTGTTTGGCTCTTTGATTTGAAAAGGTTGCTGACCCCTGGTCTAGACGGTGCTTGGTTCTGCTGTCTGGGCAGGTGACTGGACTTAATTGGCCTCTCAAGGTTCTTTCCAGTCCTACAATTCTATGATTCCCATTCCCCCAGTGATTTGCACAATAGTGGCTTTTCCATTGTTTTGGTTCCACACCAGTTACTTTACATTATTGGTAGGGGCTGGCTTTCCCTTGGCTGGTCCTGGTCCTGCAAACAGAAAGGAGAAGACTGGAAGTGCAGGCAACGTGAGGGTTATTGAGGTGAATCAAGCAAGCATACATGCATGGCAATAAGTGTTCCCTTGAAGCTGAGTGAACTACAAGTGGGTCTCCGCATTACATCGCGTTCTCCTACGACCTTGTCGAAGTCTCTGGATCTCTCTCTGTCATTGAGCTCCCCTCTGACTGGAGTCTTCCCGTTCCGGGACATGGAGTTGCCTGCTCTGTGTTTTCAAGAGCCTTTCACGAGGAATGTCTGGTTGTGTGGGTGTTCCCAGCAGAGATGTGGATAGTTAAATCCCTCCTACACACAATATTCCATACCTTGGAGCATCTGGGGAGCTGCGCTACAATGTGCAATTAAAATAGTAGGGGGTGGTTTTTTTTTGTTTTGGCTACAAATGTCCTGTTGAATTCCACCAATCTCCCTTCTTTTCCTTCCCTGGAGCAGGGTTTCCTATATTTACATCTGATGCGCTCTCCCAGGCAAAACCAACGGAGGAGCCAGGGGTCCCAGTTCTCCAGGGCTTAGAGGAAAGAGAGTTGCTGATGGCCACCCATTCAGGTGAGGAATCATTAAATCCCCTCAAAAGCTGTCGGAGCCGTAAGGAAACAGGGATTCCCTGCAAAAATGGGGTGAGTTCTGCAAGCTGAGGATTGTCCCCGGCATGTGTCAGATCCTCAGGACAGGTATCACTCTTGACTTCCTATGTATCCTGACCAACACCTGGCACTAGCTCCCTCTCCAGCGTCCCTTCCCCTGAATCTTTGGATGGGATGGAGCAAGGTTTGATCCTCTTCTCTTTCACCTATGGGGAAGAGTTTGGGGGAATTCATGTCCCGATATTATTTCTGTCTCTCCAGTTTATTTTGGTTTGCTCTCCCCTTTTCCAACCCTGTTTCTGAGCCCTGGTCCACACAGAGTTGGGTCGACATGAGGGAGCTTACACCAATCTAATTCTGTAAGTGTCAACACTGAAATGTACCTGTCACCCACTATGCCAATTTAAATGTCTTAAATAATCCCAACTGTACATATAAAATGATGGTGTCTAAATTTGCTGTTGCCACTCAACAGAGAGATTTTGAGATTGTGGACAATTCTCTGAAAACATCCACTCAATGTGCAGCAGAAGTCAAAAAAGCAAACAGAATGTTGGGAATTGTTAGGATAATGATAGATTACAATACAGAAAATTGCCACTATATAGAACCACAACTTGAATACTGCGTGCAGCTGTGGTTGCTCCATCTGAAAAAAATATATATTGGAGTTGGAAAAGGTTCAGAAAATGGCATAAAAATGATAAGGGGTTTGGAACAGCTTCCATATGAGGAGAGATTAAAAGATGGATTTTTCAGCTTGGAAAAGAGATGTCTAAGGTGGCGGGATATGATTGTCTATAAAATCATGCCTAGTGTGGAGAAGGTAAATGAGGATGTGTTATTTACTCCTTGTTATAGCACAAGAATTAGGGATCTCCCCTCTATAAAATCATGCCTAGTGTGGAGAAGGTAAATGAGGATGTGTTATTTACTCCTTGTTATAGCACAAGAATTAGGGATCACCCCATGAAATGAATAGGTAGCAGGTTTAAAACAAACAAAAGGAGGTATTTCTTTGTACAACACATAGTCAACCTGTGAAACTCTTTGCCAAAGGATGTTGTGAAGACCAAGACTATTACAGGTTTCAAAAAAACAAAACAAAACAAAAAAAACCCCCTAGATATATATTCATGGAGGGGTAGGTCCATCAATGGCTATTAGCCGTGATGGGCTGGAATGGAGTCCATAGCCACTTGTTTGCCAGAAGCTGAGAATGAGTGATGGAATGGATCAAATAATTCCCTGTTCTTTACATTCCCTCTGGGGCATCTGGCATTGGCCACTGTCTGAAGACAGAATACTGGGCTAGATGGACCTTTGGTCTGACCCAGTACGGCCATTCTTATGTTCGATTAAGTCCCCCTCTGTGAGAAATGTGTCACTTAATTTGATTTAATTAGGTTGATCCACTGCCAGCGTAGACCCTGCCTTGTTGCTGCCATTCAGAGGCTGTCCCACAATGCCCCACACAGGCAGTTAAATCAGTGCAATGCTTCCCATGAGGATGCGCACTGTCGGTACAAAGAACACAGATGTGCAAAAGCAATTTAATTGCAGCTGTGGCTGTGCACCATGGTCACTAGAGCCAATTTAATTGTATAGCATAGATTTGCCCTGAGGTTTCTCTCTCTATCCCAGCAGATGGTGGGATGCTGTGTGTGAATTTGGAGCTGAACCCTCAGCGGGAAGGTACTGAGCGAGTAGAACCACATGGGGGATTAGCGCGAGGCTCCAAAGGGAATGTGTCCAGGCATCGTGCACAGGGGGCAGCTTGTGAGAGTCTGCACAGGCCAGAGAGGGAGCATGAAAGCCAGCCAGGGGAGAATGTGGGTAAATCTATTGATTGTCAGGAAACTCACAACAGCCTCAAGGAAACCACATGCCAGCCAAATATCCCCATGGGACAAAGACCCTATAAATGTGCCGAGTGCGGGAAGACCTTCAGTTTGAGTTCGAACCTTATTAAACATCAGAGGATTCACACAGGTGAGCGCCCCTATGAATGCGGAGAGTGTGGGAAAACCTTCAGCCACAGCTCACACCTAACAAGACATCAGAGAATGCACACAGGTGAGAGACCCTACGAATGCTGTGAGTGTGGGAAAACCTTCAGGTACCGCTCAGACCTTATCACGCATCAGAGAATCCACACAGGGGAGAGACCCTACGAATGTTGCGAGTGTGGGAAAAACTTTAGTCAGAGCTCGAATCTGATTAAACATCAAAGGATCCACACAGGGGAGAGGCCCTATGAATGCTGTGAGTGCAGGAAAACCTTCACGCGGCGATCAAACCTGAACGCACATCAGAGAATCCACAAAGATGCAAGACGCTATGAATGCTTTGTGTGGGAAAACCTTCATGCTGAGCTCACACCATATTACACATGAGACAGACTGCTGTGGAGAGAAACACCTTAAAAACTTTTCAAAAGTTTGCAGGGTTTTGGATTGTCTTTTTTGCGTTAACGTTTTTGTTAATTCCCACTAATGATCTTTAACAATATTTGCAGAATGTTCATTACTGTGATCTCTCACCTCCTCAGATGAGCTGCCCAGTTTTGTGTTTTGCTTTTCACCCTTCCTTAGGGTGAACACTATGGTATTCTCTGTCAACTCCTATGAGTCATGAGAAAGTGCGTCCCTCTTACTGGGAATGTCCCTTAGCCAAAGTGGAGGAGTTAAGGATGAGCTTGATTAGCTACACTGAGGCACAGTCTACATGGACTTCCTCTCCACTAGGTTTTTCCATGGAGTTAGCTACCCAACGTTAGCTATCCTGGTGCAAAAAAACAGCTACTCTTACAGGTAAGACATGGCCCATGTATAGTGGGTGTGGTTAGCTATCTTGTTTCCTAATCTTTTATCACCTTTCATGGTCTAAAAAAAGCCTAGAACAGGGCTACTCAACTTTGGAAGCCCCAGGGGCCACAATGATACTCACAGCACATGCCGAAGGCTGCAACTTAAATGTGGTTGCATGTAGATGCAAATTTATATGCAAATAGCTTATTTCACACTGACGGGCATGAATACAAAGATTAAGCAAGACTATACAACACACAGGCCCCATTTGTCAGTTCTGCTGATGTTAATGAAATGCAATATTTTACCTGATTTCCACCAATATGACAGCACTGTTAATGAGCAATGACAGTCCAAGAATGTAACATCTAAAACTCATATCAACAGAAGGCCATTATATTGACTCGCTGTTGTTCAAAGGATCCCACCTGCAGGCCGCATGTTGAGCCCCGTGTAAACCCAAACTGCACTGCGGGCTGCAAACAAACAGGCTGTATGTTGAGTAGCCCTGGCCTAGAGCTTCATATGTATATTGTTCATACCATTGCACATCAATGGGTTACCTAGGCAGGTGGTGGAATCTCCTTCCCTAGAGGTGTTTAAGTCTCGGCTTGACAAAGCCCTGGCTGGGATGATTTGGTTGGGATTGGTCCTGCTTTGGGCAGGGGGCTGGACTCGATGACTCCTGAGGTCTCTTCCAGCCCTGGGATTCTGTGATTCTAAAGCAATGATTAGTCGCTACATTTCCCTTTAGGGTTGAATTCTACTTCCCAGTTGTTCTCATATTGCTCTAGGGTGTGTGAAGAGCAGGTGAGGGAATGAAGGAAGGGGGTGGTACAATTTTTCTCATTGATAATATACACTTGAACCTCTTTAATCCAGCAATCCTGGGAATCAGGGTTTGCCAGATTAAGGGTTTTGCCGGGCCAGGGAAGAAGTGAGGGATGATGGGGACAGGGTGCTTACCTAGCATTCTTCATCCTCCACTGTTCCAAGGCACCGTCCCCCACCGCTGTTGTGGGTGGCAGGAAAAAGCCTCTGGCAGCGCATGTCATTGCATTGCCATTTCCCCAGCTGGGGGTAGGAGGAATAGTAGCATGCAGAGCCACTTACACCTCCACCTGCCAGGGTCCCTATTGTGAGTGTTCTCGAAATAGGAACATGCAGAGTATGGTGGTTATAGTGTATTTAACTATGATAGAAAGCAGGAACTGGGGCAGATAAAAGTGTTTGCTGCCGCTATGACAGCCAAAGAAGATGGGGTTAGTCAAAGGGATCCCCTCCATCCCCTGCAGTGTTAACCTGTGCATGACTAAGATAGAAAGTATCTTCTATCCCTCCATATCCTAGCGAGTCACATGATGCGATTGTCCTCCGTTTTCTGTAATGGTGCTTTGGTTTCTGTGATTCTAAATAAGACTCCTTGGGGATGCAGATGAAAGCATCACAAGCGTGGAAGGGGAATTCAAAGGGACCCTAAACACAATGTGATCACTCTGAGTTTATATCTCCATTTTCATCAATTGGCAAAGGCTCTTCAGACGGGAAGGTTGCTGTATTTCTCCCCCACTATTCTGATGATTCAGAGACTTCAGTAAATAACAGAACTCAATACTAATGAGACTGCGTTGAGTGAAGGACATTTGAATGGCTCCGAGAATATGACAGGAGACTGTGATTCTGGTTCTAAGTTATTAGATGTACCCTGCTCTGAAATTTCACTTGGTACGATAATGTGTTTCATCACCTCTCTTCTATTATGGGATTTTCTCTAATGAGTGAAGGCCCTTTAGTATAATAATTGGACATTTTAATTTTGTTTGTCAGTCCCCCATATTTATTGGGGACTTCAAGACAAATGATCATTTGCTAAAATAGGAAAAAAAATAAGACTGAGAAATTACTTTCTCCTCACCTCTCCCATTAGGATAGAGGAAATTCAACCGCAGTTCTGTCAACAGGGGAGACTTTCCCAAGCTATTTTGCATGCTATCAAAGAAATCGTGCTTTTCAGTCTCCCATCTAAAATGGCAACCAGCAGTAAACTGTGCAGCAGCTGCCTGTGATCAGTGTCATTTGGTTCCTTTAGGTCAATATTATCTCAGATGACACAGGCAGGGCCGGATTAAGACCGTTAGAGGCCCTACGCACTGAAACGATTATGGTGCCCCCCACATGTAATTGAAAATAAAAACAATACTATACCATAAAATCTTTTTTTTTTTTTTTTTTTGGTGCCCCTGCTTTGCTGGTGCCCTAAGCACGTGCTTAGTCTGCCCATTGGGTAATCCAGCCCTGGATCCAGGCAATAAATGTCATAATATGTGACTTGCTCATGCATTTTTTCCCCTAAAGCATCTGTGACCCAGGTACTAAGGAGGTTATCCCTTGAAGATCTCACCTAGCTAACTAATCCTGTGCTTTGCAGAATGATGTCCCTCACTATGCCGATGTGGAGAAACAGATGTTGTGTTTTAGCAATGCTCACCCTTTGTACGTGATGTGAACATGTAATAAAATCAATTAAGTGTTGAATGTGATGGATCTGCAGGAGAAACAACTGTTTCCAACTAAAGCAATGAGGAGTCCAGTGGCACCTTGAAGACTAAGCAGTTTATTAAGGCATGAGCTTTTGTGGGCTGACGCCCGCTTTGTCAAACACATGAAGCAGTAACTTCAGTCTGGCAGGGATATATACACACATGCAAAAAGGGGAGTGTTAGTATTAGGGGGAGGACTGGTGCTAATGAGGCCAATTCATTCAGAGTGGACATGGCAAGTTCCCACCAGTTTTTGAAAAGGAGTGAACACCGAAGGGGGAAAATTACTTTTTGATCGTGAGCCAGCTGCTCCCAGTCTCTGTTCAGACCTATTCTGACAGTGTCAAGTTTGCATATGAGTTTCAGCTCTGCAGTTTCACGCTGCCACCAGGTTTTGAAGATGAGTGGTACCCCTACTACTTGAATACTGTATGCAGATGTGGTCACCTTATCTCAAAAAAGATTTCCTAGCACTGACTGCTGCAGCTTTTTCTCCACTGCCCAGCACTAAATTTCCTAGCACTGACTGCTGCGGCTTTTTCTCCATGCCCTGCCCAGTGGCTCTGAACCTTTCTAGACCTCGGATTGGTCTTGCGTAGCCCCAAGTGTCACCTCTCTTAAAGCCCCCTCGCTTACAGAATCAGAAAGATACAGAAGGGTCATGACCAATGTTCCCTCTCATCTATCCCGTCCATGTGTGGATTTTTCCCATACGTGTGTAGAATAAATTTTATGTGCACTGAGGAAGGTGCGGATGTACACCACAAGTAGAAACACAAAGCTAGCGGTGGGCACTCTGCTGGGCAGCATTGGACTCTGCTGAGCGGCTGCATGAACACCCAGCTTCCTGGGAGTGCTGGTCCCAGTGAGAGGCTCTTTCGAAAGATGCTTTCGAAAGAGCCTCTTTCGAAAGAAGCCTGCAGTCTAGACATAGCCCCCCTGCCCAGTGGCTCTGAACCTTTCTAGACCTCTGATTGGTCTTGCATAGCCCCAAGTGTCACCTCTCTTAAAGCCCCCTCACTTACAGAATCAGACAGAAAGATACAGAAGGGTCATGACCAATGTTCCCTTTCATCTATCCCGTCCATGTGTGGATTTTTTCCATCCATGTGCAGAATAAATTTTGTTATGTGCACTGAGGAAGGTGCGAATGTGCACCACACGTAAAAACACAAAGCTAGCGGTGGGCAGTCTGCTGGGCAGCATTGGACTCTCCTAAGCGGCTGCACGAACACCCAGCTTCTTGGGAGCGCTGGTCCCAGTGTGCTAGGACAGAAATGGCTGCTTTCTCACTGTTGCGCCATGATTATAAAAGAAATTGATTGGAAGCCAAACGTTGGGCTTACTGCTCAGAGCAAAGCTTCCAGAGCAGTCTACTCAATTTGAATTTGTACTGACTGCTAGCACTTATTCTGTAGCCTCCACCAGCCATGTGACTCACCCCCCACCCTGGGGAAAGGCAGGACAACCCACCTCTGGCTCTCCCTGATCTCGCTTCACCTCGTCCCCCAATTGAGGCAGACCCTGGGAGTTGCGTCGCTCCTCTTCCCACTGGGGAGTATGGTCCCACCCCTGCTTGAATGAGGCATCAGGAGAGCAAAGCAAGCTGGAGCCGCCTTGCTCTGCTTCCCCCGCCACTGCCAGTGGGTGGGCGGTGGTAGGGCTGGGCCACCCCTGCATTAGGATGTGGAATGTAGCTGGTAATTCGCTTAAGGTCTTTGTTTAAACTTCTATCATAGGTATCAAAGTTGTAAATGAAATTAAACTCTGAAGCTTCCCTTTCAAGCTGTTTTTTTAAATTGGCTTGTAATAATATGGAAACTTGGAGGTCTATTGATGAGTGTCCTGACAAGTTAAAATGTTCCTCAACAGGTTCTGTGTGTTACCTTTTTGAATATCTGATTTGTGTCCATTAATCCTTTGTCATCCAGCCTATATACCTTTCTATATACTTCACCTTTTCACTATATTTTAGCAGTAATGCAAGGATCTGCAGGGATTTTACCCCATCAGAGGTTAGCTTTAGCAGTAGTGATGGATCCGAACACATGTAGGCTGTGTCTAGACTGGCAAGTTTTTCCGCAAAAGCAGGTACTTTTGTGGAAAAACTTGCCAGCTGTCTACACTGGCCGCTTGAATTTCCGCAAGAACACTGACTTCCTATTGTCTGAAATCAGTGCTTCTTGCGGAAATACGATGCTGCTCCCGTTTGGGCAACAGTCCCTTTTGCGCAAAGCTTTTGCGCAAAAGGGCCAGTGTAGACAGCTCAGATTTGTTTTGCGCAAAAAAGCCCCGATCGCGAAAATGGCTATTGGTGCTTTTGCGGAAAAGCGTCCGTGCCAATCTAGATGCTCTTTTCTGCAAATGCTTTTAACGGAAAACTTTTCCGTTAAAAGCATTTGCGAAAAATCATGCCAGTCTAGACGAAGGCATAATGTCCAGACTGGGTGATAAAAGGAGGGTCAGTGTCTTGTGAGATATAAAAGGGTCTAAACTGTAAAGGCCCAGCCAAAATGACAACCTGATTGAGGAACCAGAAGGCACTGGTGCCTGACTGCAAGTTCCCATTTTTCCCACGTCAGGAAATGTGTCCTAAAGGTGATCAGGTGATCTTTTCATGCATATTAAGAACATAAGAACATAAGAATGGCCGTACTGGGTCAGACCAAAGGTCCATCTAGCCCAGTATCCTGTCTACCGACAGTGGCCAGCACCAGGTGCCCCAGAGAGGGTGGACTGAAGACAATGATCAAGCGATTTGTCTCCTGTCATCCCTCTCCAGCCTCTGACCGACAGAGGCCAAGGACAGCATTTTATCCCCTGGCTAATAGCCTCTGGGGAATTCAAAAAGAATTTAACCATCCAATCAAATATGCGTTCCCACAAAAATCTCCGGGTGCAGAAACCTGTTTTTGGCCTGAAGGATTGGCTAAAAGGTGACGCAAAGGGGCCTATAAAATCCTATGGCAGGGGCTATATGGAAGGATTTTACTTCCTCACAAGAACTTTCTAAAAACTTAAAAAACAACAAATAGTCTGGTAGAACTTTAAAGACGATCAAAACATGTAGGGTATGTCTACACTTGCACCCTCTTTCGAGAGAGGGATGCAAATGAAGACATTTGAAATTGCAAATGAAACCGGGATTTAAATATCCCGGAATTTAAATATCCCATGCTTCATTTGCATATTCGCGTTATGGTGCTATTTCGAAATAGTGCTATTTCAAAATAACAGATGCTGTTAAGACACAGTTATTTCAAGAGAAAACCCTTCTCTTGAAATAACCCTTATTCCTCATACAATGAGGTTTACCAGTTATTTTGAGAGAAGGGTTTTCTCTCGAAATAACCGCGTCTTGACAGTGTCTGTTATTTCAAAATAGTGCTATTTCAAAATAGTGCCATAATGTGATTATGCAAATGAAGCACAGGATATTTAAATCCTGGCTTCATTTGCAATTTTGAATGTCT